CCATAATGCTCAACACCAAAGGAAACACAGGTTAGAAGAAACACACGACTATCCACACTCTATAGTCAGACTTTACTGCTACACTGGCCGGACCGACCTGCTCGATACCAATTGTAACACCCTACTCTACCCATCCATATAAAATTGAAAATTTGATAATAAGTGCGGAAATAAATCAGAGTTAATACACGTAGGATGTCACATTTCCAAAAACAACGTCAAATAACATAAGTAAACCACGAAATCTCCATCCTGCATGTGTTACGTATCAAAGCGACTCCTAAGACTCGATCAAATAGCAACACAATGCTCCAAGCACTACTCAGGTACCTGGTCATCTGTACTCCCCAAAGGAGCACAGACACAACAAACGTAAAAGGGGTGAGAACTATAATAAATAAATACACGGTGAAAAACACATGCTAAGAGTAGTTCACATAAAACACACCAATCATACAATCACCATACACGTACCAATGTCGCATCATAGTTCAGCATGAACAACCCACATTCAATCATATGTAAATATGCAATGCGACTCACTGACACGACACAATGCAAGCGATACCATCACAATCACATACGGTTCATCCTAGAATCCAATTCCCATCAAAATCCGGATAAGTCGTATACGCTCCTTTGAACTACAACTTATCTCCACACGGCTCCCACATAGAGTCCGGACAAGACTAGGCACCCATCATGGATTCCCACCTAGCTCGCCTCAACATAACATGACATGAATGCATGACGTAAATTATGCACAACAAAATAATTATTCAAGCATAATTTCACGATCCTCAATGATCACACACGAGCCACATGCTCACCGTAATTCTCTTCGGAATTACCACCACAGCACAAGACCGTCCACACCCGACAATCTTGGCTCACACACATCCAACACGTCTCAACTAGACATCCTTATAAAATCCCACATTTTATTCTATTTCATGTCATTACTAGTTTCTCCTATGTCCAATTATACCATCTTAGTCTTACGGATCAAAAGAAATTGCATCGCATGCGAAATCGGGACAAAATCGCAAAAACGGGAAAACTGCACTACAACTCTGCCCATACGCGTAATGCCTTGGGCCTTACGTGTATGGCCTCCTCCCTACGCCCTAGGCCCGCGTACCACACGCGTAAGGCCCCAGATTGCCCAGGTCCCTACGCGTAATGCCCAGTGCCTTACGCGTATGACCAGAGATGTTTTTCCCTCCAAAAGTCCATTTTCAAATCCCCTTACGCGTAACACCCTTCCATACGCGTAATTCTCAGTTCCCCTTACGCGTATTGGCAAAGGGCCGTACTGGTCTTGGAATAGGGTGTCTATCATACCCGTAACGCCCTGGAAATGTCCCCTCATACGCGTAATGCCTCGTGCCTTACGTGTATGGCCAATCAGCATGCCAAAATCCCAGTTTTCCATTTACATGAGTTCTTAGACATTGAAACCCATTCCAGCACCTAAATAAGATCCAAAATCATCTTTTCTTCAGTCTAATTCCAAATTTCTAACTATACTTCATAGTTTCATCATTCTTATCAACATTTTATGTGTTAACAACCTAATTTTTGTTAATCCCATAAATCCCAAATTCCATATATGTTCTATATCAGAACTCCACAACACGGAATCAATATGCATGAATTTTACTGTTCAATTTCAATATACAATACAGATTCACACATACATGCATTCACACCAGACATTACTCAAGACACAGATTTACAGTAGCAATAACACAATCACGTAACAGATCAAGAAGATGAAAAATATATAGAATCCTAAGAGGGAAATGAGCCCTCGCTATCCTCTCATGTTATTAACACCATTATTGACCCCATTATCCCCCTTACCTGAATCTGAGCTTCAAGTCCTTCAACAATGGTGGAAACTCCCTTCTTGCTCTAGTTCTCCCTTGTTCTCTTTTCATGTAAATTGCTCTGATTTTTGCTAACCTCTCCACTAATCCCTCTAATTATGTTCTAATAATTATCTTATAATAATAATAATGTTAATAATTATAATAATACTAATATTAATAATTATAATAGTAATAATATTGATATTAATACAACTAACATTAACATTAATAAAATGTCTCCTTATTATGTTATTATCACCATGTTGTCCTAACCTTTAATTTCGATTAAGTCCTCTTACTAAGCTCTCGCGCCTGCCCTACACACTTACCCTTAGCCAAATCAATAAAACCACAAATAACACACGATAAATCATAAAACGACTAAATAATTAAATGGGGTGTTAGACATCCCCTGTATATCATCTGAGTGGTTAAGGGTCCAACAATTACATCTCTTATGGGGGATTGGAATCATGTTGGTGTTGTCTGATGTTGTGGATGTCGTCCTCCAACGTATGGTTTTGGCGGCGTAATTCGTCCATGGCGTCATACATCTCCGTCAAGGTGTCGGCATCACCACTACTGCAAGTACCTTTCGGCGAAAGGGATAGAGCTCTCTTGTTAACCATAACTGAAAGTGGATACGTATATGAGTGAAGGGTAAGAACAAGAAGGGAGATGGTGATAATGAAGGTATGGCCCAGGTTAGTTTTACTATGGCATTTTAATACTGGTCAAAAAGTACGTGTGTGTGTGTGTGTGTGTGTGTGTGTGTGTGTGTGTGTGTGTGTTCCTACTACAAGGACAAGGTAACTCAGAGGCCTTTGTAGGTGTATAACGATTAACAGTGGTTAGAGCTTGCCCACGTGAGGTGAGAAGCCCTGTACGGTGGTGATTATGGTGGTTTTAGGGACCTGCTCACATGAGGTGACAGACTTTGTTATAGAATAGTATGCTTTAGGTATAAGCGTGTACGAGGGTTTGACATATTCTTGTTAAGATTTTTCCCTTCTTCCCCTAGGGAGAGATGTATTTATAGAGGCCTTTTGAACCTAGGGTTTTGATCATTCCTGATGGTGGCAACAGTTCCCCCTAATCGAGAGGAGTTATTGACCACATATCTTTCAGAAGTAATGGAGGATTCCATCTCCTTTGACTGACATCTTTACCCGTCATCAATACCTTTAGGAGATTTCTTAAGATGTCGCCTGGTTGATACATCTTTTTGGACGAGAGCACCCTAATTTAATACATTTCCAAATATAATAGTACAAAAACTAATCCTTATTATGGTACACAAATCTCCAAAAATAACACTTAAAATGAGATGAATGAATAATTAATATGTGTATTCTTAAAGAGTGCACTTAGAGTTCTTAGAGCCCGTTAGTAAGAGTCATAATAAAATGATGTATTTAAATATAACTTCCTATCCTTTTAAATTTTCTCTACTTTTCAATATTCTATATCCTACCTTTTATTTTACTTAGTTTTTAGTTAATTTTATTATATTAAATAAATAATTTTTAGCTTATTTAAACGTTAACTATATTCTGATACCGCTATATAACACCATATTTTCCCGCGCATAATTAAACAATAAAATTAGAGTATTCACACAATCAAATAGGATGTCACACATACTCTTTTCAAAGCATACATGTCTTGTAACACTTCATCAAATAAAACAACAATCAACACCTTCACTTAATAAAACATACATGTCTGATATCATTGCATGCTCACCTCCAGTTAGGGTATCATCGCAGTAACTTCTCATAATAAAGCATGCATTAACTAAATTATTTAAATTTCAAAAACTTTATAACAAACAAAATCATATATGCACTCTCTTCAAACATAAAAATATCAAACATGAGAGTATACATACACTCTAACGAAAAGATTAACAAGACTCGCAAAACGTTCCTAGTGTTATATATCAGAGTACATAAACTAATGGAGAAACAGTGTCATATCTTCCTCCAACTTTAAAGCATCTACTCAGTTACGTGCTTATTTGTACCCTAAAGAGGAGCACATACCACAACAACAAAGGGGCAAAAAAATCACAAACAATAATAACAGACATATACCGCAAGGTAGGATAATAACACAACATCCTCTATACAATATCATTCACTGTATACCACAATACATTCTCATACCCAAACTCATCAATCTTTCACAACTAACAAAAAATCAGCATTTCTAAAAACACAACAGCTTTAACCGCTTAACCGAAACCTGCAACCAGTTCCAACCACGAAAATTTCAAAAAAAAACTTATCATTTCAGCTATAACCAGTTACACCAACACGTTAACCGGTTACCACTGTACAGAAACAAAAAAAAACACGATTTTCACCATTTAAGAACCTTCAAAACTCTGATTTCGATTCTGCAAAAATCCCTAATCTCAGAATTAGACACATTACGATTATCCCATAATTAAAACCCAATTTAATACATAAAATCCATTATTTTCATGAAAATCATTGGTTTACAAAACTTCGACAATGCAACAATGGTGGAAAAACATCAAGTATCAAAACAGAAAAATCAATCATGAATAATGCACAAATTCATCAATTATTACAGACAATTTTTCTCATACAATCAGAATTCATCCACAACATACACTCTAATAACGTTTAAAGACTCCTCTACCCTTACCCTTAATGCATAAGCCCTATTAAAAGCTATTCTCCCCCTTACCTTATACTCCTAAGAGTAAATTCTGATTTTCAATAAAACTTCTTCTCCACTCCAAGTACAAACACTACTCCAATAAAAAATAGCTAAAGTATTGACAGCGTTATACATGTCAGAAACCACCACCATCAAATGTCAATAAATTACAGTTAATAGATTTTTTTACAACTAAGAGGGGAAATTTTTGTACCCAAAGCAAAATTTAATAGTGTTGCACAAGTAGACATAAAATATTTACCGAGAGAACTAATATATAAATGCCAATTAATTCTAAAGATTAGCTTCTATTCTATGGATGTGAGATTATTGGTTTACCAAGATGCAAAATAAGCACCAAAACATAAAATATGCATATTGGACCTATTAAAAGACAATGAAATATTAGTGCACAATACTTATTTTTTTAAATGTTCAAGTTCTGTGTTCAGATCCATCATCTGCTCCATTTTCAGTTGGCCTAAGAGTACAATATTGACAAGAACTATTAGGAGGTTTCAAATGCAAGCATTGACCAATCTTTTTCTCTAGCCAAACAAGTCTTCTTTCAAGGCTCAAAACACCAATATGCAAAATCCGAATGTCATTATCATATGCAACTCTAGCAAAAGCCCTAAGCAAAATGTAATAATCAGCATGAGCAACATAGGACAGGGCACCTTTATCCTTCTTTCGAACATAGTGAACATAATCAAGTTTTGTCCGCTTGACATTGGGTGGAATGTAACAAAATCGGTTTTCCTCCATGTCTAATTTCAACTGTCTAATAACGGCTTCTCCATCTGGCAAACTCTTGGAGGAGTTAGTATCACTTAAACTTCCGGGCAAGTCATCTGCAACGCAACCGCCATTGCTATGAGAGGATTTAGTATTCTGAAAGAAAAATACATCAATGTAAATTTATCCTGGCAAGCAACTTTCATAATTCAGTTGGCAAACAAAAAATGGACCAGCTATAAACTAGAAACAACATAGAAGATAGACTTGAGTAATAAATTTAAAAATGAACATAATTATCAATGATGAAAAGAAAAATTTCAACCTATATACAGTTTGAATCTATCTTAACCCTACAAAATCAGCTTGTAAAGAGTATCCGAATTTATATACACATGTCTAGACCACATCTCATCCAATGTGAAACTCCACATGTCTAGACCACATCTCATCCAATGTGAAACTCTTAACACCTCTTCAAACCTACGACTAAACATCTAGAGCATGATCTGAGTGACTCAATAGTTGGGAATTGATAGCAAGTGGTCCAACAAATTTTGGATAAACTTTGAAATCGCATAAGAAATTTAGCATTGTTCGGGAAATGAGATGCAACCAATTTACTTTTTCAAACTTTTCAAGAAAAGAAATTAAAATCAAAGCTATCAATCTCTTATAGCAAAGCGGAGCGGCCAACCACAAAAATGGGATTGCGGGATAACTGCTATTTGACTATATTTTAGATTAATTAAATGAATAATCTATTAAACATATATTTAATACAAAACCAAACAAATAAAAGAGAAAGAAGAGGAATAGAGTTATTAAATGACTATTACTTAAAAAACAGAGGACAATATGAATAAACGCGAGAAAAGAAAGAAGAAAAGATCGTGAGAAGAAAACTCTGAAAACTGAAGCGAAAGCGTGTGAGAAGATCGAATCCTCTGTTGTGTTCTAAGTTAGGGCAAATTAGAAAAACTCCAGAAAACTCCTCCAATGTTTACTTATTTTAAGGATAAATCTGAAATTTCGCATTCAAAGCAGTTCAAACCCGCTCTGGCCGGGAAGCGCTCCGCTCCTGCTACCTGCTAAACATCAAATAGTGGCTGCTATCTCAAACTGAGATGCAAACTATTCCTCCATAGCATAGGGTCACCGCTCCAGGCCACTATTGATAACTCTGATTAAAATCTAGATCAGCAAGGCAACTCAACTGCTTCATTGACACACCCCAAGAAAGAATTGAAAGTAATTCCAAGATATTATAATTATAAATGTCATGCATGCCAATGAAATAATTCATTCAAGTCTTCAATTACCTCTTCATTCTGATAGTGTTCCCATAGGTTTTTGATCATATTTTTTTCTTCATGATTCCCTAATGATGGTTCTGCTCCAGCAAACACAACATCCTTACAGTATTTGAGATATGCAGGTAAGTCCTTGGAATACTCTGTCAAAATGAAAAACAGGATGTTATATTAGACAACCATTTGAATATTGTGACTTGCGGAAAATAGGAAGAAACAAAACATAAGTTCACATAAAATAGGTTAATACTGCAAGTAAACAAAACTTTACCGTGTGTGTCTGCAATCTCATTATATATTGCATGAAGGTGTCGGAGAAGCCCAGCACAATCCAAATTGTGTTTTTGATGGTCTGCTGGATTTTTAGCTGAATCTTTGGCACTATCATTACGAGATAAACTTTTCTCCCATTCTCCATAACCATTAATGTTATACAAAATCCTTATTGCTACTACCAGAATCGATACAACACAAACATGAGTAGGTAGCCGAAAATAATCCTTGGATAACGATAACCACGAATCTGGAGGCATCGACCATTCATAAATGCGGCATGCATACGGAAGAATCTTTTCAACAGGAAGAGATAATTTTTCAAGATAACGATAAGCTAATGCATAAAAGTTAACAGGAGGTAACTCCAAGCCTATAAACTGAGCAATTGATGAAGCATATGACTCTAGTTTATGTACCGAAAGAGCTCGGTGAGGCCTGAACATATAACTTGAACTAATAGGACACGCACTTGATGGATTTCCCATGCGCCGATTAATTTCAACAAAAGCAGATAAATATGGAAGCTTCCCTTCCTGTACCCACTTAATCATATCTGATGGCATGATGGCTTCCCTGGCAATATGACATGCTAAATATGAAACAGCAATGGTGCTAACTAGTGGAATCCTATTCTTTAAAGACCTAAACCATAGAAACACAGCTCGCTGACCAAATATATTGTGAGGTTCTGATTTGTATTTACCGCGTGAGTTATAATCTTCTGGTTCTCCTGAGAACAAGAAAGCAAGAAATTTAACACACTACAATATACACTTGAAAATAAGTCAAACATCTTCTCGGTGCGTTAAATAAACTACACTAGACATGGCAAATTAAACTTCATATCATTACCTTCTTTCTGCATCTCAGAGTCATCAATTACTTTATTAGCCCAGTCTTCGTCGAAAACACCCGTCTTGGAGACAAATCGCAACCAAATTGGTCCAACCAAGCCGCATACTAAAGGAGTAACCTTAAACTCTTTCACCAGAGCTTCACATTGAAGCTCAATCATAATCTGCAACCCTAACACATACCGCAACCTTATCTCGTTGTGGTAATCTTCAGAGCTCGGAACATTTGAGCCTCCGAAATCAGCCGGAGTTGATGGACTAGCCTCATCAAACAGGGACTGAGATGGATCAACATTCTCTTGTTTTACTTTAACCGGGGGATCAACTAACCGAAGGCTCGAAAGTAAAGTGGATTGGGACAATGGATCATACTGTGAGATGGGTAGAACATGAATTCCTTCGGAATGAGCAGATGCCCGGCGTTGGTGACTGGCGAGGTAGACACCACCGGCGGCTTCTTCCTCGGCGCCAGTGTCGATAGCTTCTCGATTTTGTTCTCCGCAGTTACTGCAGAAGAAGAAGCCATCCGATTCGGGAGCTTCGCTCACAAAGTTACAGGATTGACAAGTGAATACACGGTAATCATCCATATTCTGAGCCTATAATTAGAGATATAATTAGCGAGAATAATCTAAACAAACTCAATCAGAGAAGATGGATAAGTTTTTATCTTGAATGATGAAAATTAACAGAAAGAGGAACAGAATTTGCGGGTGTAAAAAAGCAATGAGGAGAGAGTGAAGAGTGGCAGAGAGGAGGGGTATGGGAATGGTGTCGCCGCAAGGTCCTGCCGTGGGATGGGCGGCGGCTGCGGCGGAGTTTTTGGTGAGTAGGTTCTTCGGAAAGATGAAGGAGAAGGAAGACGAGACAGGGGAATGTTTTCAAGTTGAGAAAATCAAATTTAGGTTATTTTATGTTGTCTTTTTTTGAAATCTTTTTAACAATTATACTACTCGTTTATAAAAAATTTTAAAACAAACTATTATTTCATTTATTAAAAAAATTTAAATTTTGGTGTTTTTTTTTTTTAATATATTTTACGGAAAAATATAAAAATAATTTTGATGGGTGGTAGTTTATAGAAAAAAAGAGAAAAAGAATTATATTTAATTTATTTTTAAAAATATTTTTTTAATAAAATAGTTAAATGAAATAAAGTTGGTGTTTTTTCTTATAATTTAGAGATTAATTAGACACTCTAAAACCCCTTCAATTAAATTTTATCATTTTAACACATAAGAAAAAGGAGAAAGATAAAAGAAGTACTTATGAAAATGGTTCAATTTTTTTATTTTTTATTTTATGCTTATATATTAAAATGATAAAATTTAATTAGATAATAGTATAAAGTGATTTTACACAATGTATCCTAATTAATTTCTATAATTTATAGCAAGAAAAATTAGTGTTTTTTATTTATCAATTGGTACATACTAGTATCTTTTATATTAATATTTTTAGAATATTTGATTGTATGAATTTATTAAACTGTTTCGGTTTAAATACATTTTAAGTTCATCTATATTGATTTTGACAACTTTTTAATCCTTCTTTAAAAAATATAAAAAATATTAATTTTTAAATCTTTTTTTATCTCATTTTATGTTTTTATGGTCTCCTTTTATCGGTTTCGGGTCGTAGACTCCGACTCTTTCCCCTTCTTCGAACCCTTGTTCATATTTTTTATAGAGAAATTGTTCACTATTATCAATGAGAGAAGAAGACCCATTTTAAAGCATCTTTAAGGGATTTCTTTCGGACCGAATAAGCAACGACACTCCATCATTATCAAACTGACTTCCTGTCTCGAAGGGTCCCAGCAGAGCACCCTCTATTTCTAATAGCTCATGAACTAGATCAGAATCATTCTCACGGAGTCTATAAGAAGCATCATTGTTTTTATTAGGTTTGGGTATAGAAAAAAAAAGTCTTCAGCAACCGATCCGACAAAACAACTCAAAAGATTAGATTTGATATTTTTGAGCTTTTATAGTTTGGGCTTTAACTTGAGATGCAAGTTAACCTAAATCTATAAATAGTGAGGAACCCTTATCATTGTAATCATCAAGTTTGATAATCACGGTTTTGCAGTTGCAAAGTGATAATAAAATTTTACAATTGTGGGCAAAGAGAACTCTGTAAAATTTTCATCTTCTTCTCCAACGTTACTTTCTTTCTTTCTTAATCTTTTCATTGTCATTGTGTGATTGATAACAATCTTGAGATCAAGATTGAATAGGAATTCTCCATAGGTTGTGGTTATATTCCAACATTCAGTATCTAGAGCTCCGATTGTGATTCAAGGGAAGAACAACTGTGATGACGATGAATCACCCGAACGGTCACTTTCCAGCAAATCTTCAAATTCTCAAGAAAGATAATTATGAGAATTGGTGCAAGCAGATTAAGGTGGTTTGTTGTTACCAAGATCTTTGGGATCTTGTGAAGGAGGGATTATCACCGCTTGCAGAAACTGCGATAGCTCAGGAGAAAGCAGCATATAAAGAATTGAAAAAGAAAGATTATAAAGCTCTCTTTATAATCCATTAATGTGTTGGTCCTGATAACTTTGAAAATGTTAGTGATGTAGAATCATTAAAAGAAGCTTGGGAGATTCTTGAAAAATCGTTTGGAGGCGCAGAGAATGTGAAAGAGGTGAGGTTACAAACTCACAAAAGGACTTATGAATTGCTTCAGATGGAAGACAGTGAAAGTATAATAGATTTCTTCACCAGAGTTACAAAGCTGGTGAATCAAATCAAAGTATGTGAAGAAATGTTGACATCAAGATCAGTTGTTTCAAAGATCTTGAGGTTATTGGCTCCAAAATTCGACCATGTGGTAGTAGCCATAAAAGAGTCGAAAGACTTTTCAGTATTGACAAAGGAAGAGATTCAAGGGACGCTTGAGTCTCATGAATAAAGGATGGTTGAAAGAGTTGCAGGAAAATCGAAGAGTGATATGGCTTTGCAGGTACAATCAGAAAAAGAAAAGAAAGGAAAAGGAAGTTGGAATGACAACAAAGGTAGAGGAGGCTACAGCAATTTGACTGGTAGAAATCAGCATGAAGGAAATTGGTCGAATTAGAGAAAACCCTGGAACCAAGGCAACCAAAGAGGTGGTGTTGCAGGTAGAGGAAGAGGTGGTGGTCGAAAGCCTGACAAAAGTCACATTCAGCGTTTCAATTGTCAGAAGTATGGTCACTATTTTAGTGATTTTCCAGAAAAGAAGAAGAATCAAGAAACTGATGCAAGGCTAGCAAAACATGAAGAAGAAAAGATTTTGCTGATGGTTACAACAAGAGACGAAGAGAGATTTCAGGATCAGTGGTACTTGGACTCAGGATGTTCATCACACATGACTGGAAGGAAAGATTGGTTTGTCAACATGAAGCCCTCGTCGAAGAACACAGTGAAGTTTGTAAATGATGATACTCTAATAGCTGAAGGTGTTGGTGATGTTCAGATCATGAGGAAGGATGGCAAGAAATCAATAATTTCTAATGTGTTATACATACCAGGCATGAAAAGTAACCTGCTCAGTATATGATAGCTTGTCAAAAATAACTACAACGTAGTTGTCAAAGACAAGATGATGAGAGTTCTCGACACAGGTGGTAGGTTGATCTTGAAGGCTCCAATGTCTCAGAATAGGACCTTCAAGATTGAACTCAATGTGATGGCGTGCAAGTGCCTAACTACTACAGCCAACAAAGATGAGTGGTTATATCATTTTCTACTAGGTCATCTCAACTTCAATGTCATCAGAGAGCTAAAGAGAAGAAAGATGGCTTCAGGATTACCTGAAATCGACATTCCAAGTGAAGTCTATGAAAAGTGTGTTCAATCGAAACAACACAAGAATAACTTAACAAGGATGCAGGAAGGAAGTCGAAGGCAATTCTGGAATTCATATTCTCTTATGTATGTGGTCCAGTCCAGGTGGATTAGATTGCAGGTAACATATACTTTGTCAAGTTCATAGATGATTACAATCGAAAGTTGTGGACTTACCTCATCAAGAAGAAAAGTGATGTGATCGAGGTATTTACCATATTCAAATCTATGGTCGAAAGACAGTGGCCGAAAGCTGAAAATTCTGAGGACTGGTGGTGGTGGAGAGTATGTGTCGAAAGAGTTCTATGCATTATGTGAAAAAGAAGGGATTATGCATGAGGTGGTGCCACCCTGCACTCCATAGCAAAACGGAATTGCAGAAAGAAAGAACAAAACCATCATGAACATTGTGAGAAGTATGTTAAATGGAAAGAATCTACCCAAAGAATTATTTGGAGAAGCGGTTTCGACAACAACATACATATTAAACAGATGTCCGACAAAGAAGCTTGAAGGAATCACAACAGAAGAATGTTAGTCTGGTGTCAAGCCTAGCCTCAGTCACTTAAAGGTGTTTGGATCTATAACATATAGACATATGCTAGATTAGTTAAGAAGGAAGCTTGATGATAAGTCAAATCAAATTATTTTGATAGGATATCATTCGACTGGAGGTTACAAGTTATTCGGCCCAATGAATAAGCAGGTAGTGATCAACAGGGACGTGATCATAAATGAGCTTAAAGAATGGGATTGGACTGAGAATGTCAAGAAGGATTCAGTGAGAATCTCTTGCGAAGAACCATCCACTGAAGTCGAAAGAGAAGTTTGACAGGAAGAAGTCAGAGATGAAGCAGGCCCAAACAGACCTCGACGAACAAGACATATTCCTGTAATGTTGCAAGAATGTGTGATTACATCAGATGATGTGGTCAATGAAGAGGGTGAGCTGGTATGTAACACCCCCTTTCTATACCCCCAAATAACCACATAATCAATTAGCCACATATTAAAGATTTTCATCAGAGTATAATTAATAGCATGGTATAAAAGAGGTATGTCATATTATACGTGAAATTAAAACATACAACACCTGCTCAACAAAAGATATGCAACAGTGGGGTAGCTTCGCAACAGAGGAACTTAGTCCTTACACCCACATCTCAATATTTAGAATAGAAGCGGAAAATCTAAACATTGAGTAACATCAAACATATATACATATATGTATCAACCAATATGATTCAACAACAAAGTCATGTTTACATAAACATCCAACACCCAGATACATATACAAATGTATCATAAAAGAATCATAAACATCCTAACTACCCGGTGCTACATATCAGAGCCGACCAACCAAAAGAATGAAGACACGCTTCACAAAAAGAACTCCAGCAAACCTACTCTGCAATGCCTCATAGAGCATCATAAAACAGCATAAAGGTGAGAAATATTATCATAATAACAATGCATATAATCATATATATATATATATATATATATATATATATATATATATATATATATATATATATATATATATATATATATATATATATATATATATATATATATATATATATATATATATATATATATATATATATATATATATATATATATATATATATATATATATATATATATATATATATATATATATATATATATATATATATATATATATATATATATATATATATATATATATATATATATATATATATATATATATATATATATATATATAT